CCCTTCATCACAAGCTTGGTATCAATCACTATTGGGCTGATAACACTGGAAATAAAAGTTTAGAACAGAAATGTTGGTTGTTGGTTAAAACTTGCAAGTCATTATACATCTCCTACTCCGAAAACAACTATTCTCTAACGCCCAAACTGGTGAATAGTAATCTCCAAATGGAAGACATAAAAGTCCTGAATTTTATCTACAATTTTCACTAAGACTACCACAAGAAAGTCAAATGAGTTCTAATAATTAATCAAACGCAAACAAAAGGGAAGATATCATATATGTGTTTATACATGCTTGTGCCTGAAGAGACCGTAAAATGAATCAAGATAAATTGAATAAAATAAATACAATAAAATAAGAAGGAACTCGTGCTTACTAATGAGTAATAACTGGTTCTTAACGATGAACGAGAAGAATAAATATAGAAAGTAGTATTACCTTAAATATGGAAAGTAATCCTAAGTTTTATTTCCAATTATTTTATTAAAGTGTGTTCGTTTGCACAACTCAAGTCATGACTTGGGTTGTGTATGTGGGAGAAAAACACTATAGTAAAAGTTAAATTTAAATTTATGTTAGAAAAAATACTGTAACAATATGATTTAAATCATGACTTGAGTCATAAAATAAAAGACCTTAGAGTTTCGAAACTATTGTAATTTCCCTTATTTGTTTGTCTACTTTCCAATTTATATTAATTTTTTATCTTGTTATTTACTTATCTATAAATAGGGGTAAAGTTTATCAGACTTGATAAATGAAATTAAATATTCAGACCTCTCTCTCTAAATTCTAAACTCTTATATCTTATTCCCTAATTTCTCAGTTCTCTTCTATTTTTCTCTCCTTCTCTACTATTCTCTTTCTCTACTTACATATTAACATCACTGATCACAAGATAAAACATATGTTCCTGTTCTCCCTCAATATTTAGTGTCTTAACAGCCTGATTACTCGTGGTAACCGCAAAACCCAGAAACCACATATATAAGAACGTACGACCAAAACTTGAAAATTTGCAGAAAGTCAACAACCCAAAATAGATCAATCACCAATTATTTTCGCATGTACCCAGAAATGAAAACACAATCTTAATAATAAACAGGTACAATACAAATTCATTAACAGTACCTAGCTATCTTACTAAGCACCAATGAGAAAAAAAAATGAAAGAAACGATTTTTTTTTTTTTTTTGAACTTGGTGATGGAGAAATTTAAATTATTCATCTTATAATAAAGTCAGGTGTGACATTACTGCTATGTGTGAAATTGACGAATTAATTTAAAGCTTCAAAGGCTTATTTTTGAACTTATGCCTAAAGATATCCCACAAAGTGTGAAATCAAAACTTTTGTCCTCAAAACATAGAGAAAACTAAGACAACAAAAGGTATATAATATGAAGCTTAATAACAAGCCTACTCCAAAAAAAAAAAAAAAAAGACAATTAGAAAGAAAGTTTATACATGTTAGAGAAAAAAGAGATGTGTAGCAACACCAAAATGATTTCCAGTTCAAAGACTTCAAAAGAGAGATACATGCATTTAAGAAGAAGATTCTCCAATGAGACTTGCACGAGTGATCAAAACGCAATAGTAAGACAGTCTTTTAAGCTTGCATAACACAACCACCAAAAATCTGATACCATTATTTAAGCATATGTAAAATTCAACAAGAGAGAATCATATTAAATTAAACTCAAGAAAAGTTAGACGAATAAGTAAAAGTTGTTCTTATAAATTAAAAACTAATACAACTGCCTTTTGTTTTCTAGTTTATGAAATTATAAATGGATCAAGAGCTATGAAACCGATCTTTATCGAGTCAAAACTCTTCATTTATACCTTGCCATCCTCTAGTTCTTCTTGCCTCTTCAACGTTTTGTCTTCCAAGTGTTTGAAGATGACGCCAAGCAGACTTAAGAGTGCTTTTTCTATAATCTCGAGAGACTTTTCTTGGCATCACGTGTTGGAAAAGGGCAGGGAAACCCTTTTTGAGGTACAATTTTGAGGCTTGATTTTGAGTAGGATCACTTTATACTAGACGGGTTAATATGTATTTGTGCTCTCTGTCGTGAGAAGATCGAAATGATAAATTCATATGCTTAAAATGTTGAATGGATGAATGAGAAATTGACACTCAAAGTGCTCCGATGAGTAAGGAAAACCAAAAAAAAATTCATGTGAAGTTGGAAAAGCTCGTCCCACATAGAAAACAGACGAAGCCATTATCTTCGACAAGCCCTATAAAATGGATCCCTACTCTTCATTTAAGACACAACATAATTTCAAAAAACATTCTATTCCTCTGAAAAATTTTCTCTTTTAGAAAAAGTATACCACGACTCTAAAGCTAAGAGAATCTTAATAGTATGATGAATGGCAAACTATCATTTTTGGAGGCCTCCAATTAATAAAAGAAGTATCTATGACTTGATCTAGATGTAGCACATGAGTGTTTTCTTCCCATCCCAAGTCGTTACTTATTATGACTTATACTGAAATCTCTCTTATTAATTTATATCATAGACTCAAGTACATAGAAATACAAATAAATTTGTAGTTCCAAACATAAAAGTTTTAGGAAGGTTCTAATCTAGCAAAGTAACGATTAAATTACACACCAAGTTCTAAGTATTTAGAATTTAAAAGCACTAAATAGATAAGCATGATAATTAAAGTCTTCATGCACATAATATTTAAATTCTAGTTAAATAAGTCTTAATTTCAAAACTTTTAAGATATTTGTGGAAATTAATTGCATGGTGGTATTCAGTCTCAAACCTTTAATGTACATGTTCTTCACGAACTCAATTATTGGTGTGCAGATTTCTTATCAACAACACGAATAAACTACTGAGTGAAAGTTCAGCGAGTATAAATATCCTCACAAAACTATTCACACACAATAGCACGTAGTCCTTTTTAAAAAAAATTACAAAACTATTTTTTTTCTGAGTAGAATTCTTAAAATGATAGATAGAAAATCTACCCAAACCTCTTCATTCTTTAATTATGTCTCTTTATGTCATCTAAAAAAATATTTCATGTGAGAAAATTAGCAAATATAAAGGGGAGAAAAGGCAAAATGTGAAGCGTCTACGCAATTGATTTTCAAGGAATTAAAAATAATACATATTTTTTCAAGAGAAATTAGGTGACCTATATTAACGATGTCAATTTAAGTTGGTGGCCACTAAAATTGTGACGTGATGGTTAATTCATTACGTTTAATCAATGATTAACTTGCTAGTCAAATATTAAATAATATTAGTTAAACACTTGTCGATATCGGTCAATGATTGATTATTCTGATTGATTAGCTTATCATTAATTAACATTAAAAATTTATTTTTTTAATTTTATTAAATTGAGTCATTTACCAAAAACATGTTAAAAATAACATTTTTTTGCCCTTTTTCAACTATATGATTTTATGTTTTATTGAATTAGTAAATATAGAATAAAGGGAAAAGGCAGCACTGGAGGGTTTAGGCAACCGATCTGCAAAGCATTGGAAATAATTTTAGGCCTAGAATCTTGTTTCGGGCCGACCCAACACGGCAAGAGTCTTTATAGGGCTGAGTCAGGCCAAAATAATTAGGCTTTTGAGTTAGCAGGCCGACCCAACACGGCAAGTCTTTATAGGGCTGAGTCAGGCCAAAATAATTAGGCTTTTGAGTTAGCCCGGCCCGATCTAAACTTACTGCCATAGTTTAATCACGAGAAATAGTAGAAAATAGCCCATATAAAGATATAAAAAGCTTAAGAAAAAATATATAAGCTAATTTTTAATTATATAAATTAATATGTTATAATTTATTAAGTTATGGTTCATAATTAGATAATTTATAGATAAATTTGTCAAGTTATGGTTCATAACCAGACAAGTTATGGACGAAAATAGTAATTTGGCCTATTTATTAATTTATGTAAACTATTGGCCTATTAATTTTAATTCATCTCAAATCTTAGTCTATTTTCCTCTTTCTCCCTTTAATCATTTTTCTCTCACCCAATATTATTTACTTTAACTGTTTTGTCACAATTATCATAAATAGTGCTCCTACATCAGTTAATTCCGAATAAGGTCTAAAGGCTAGTTTGAGATTGTTATGCTGTTAAAAATAGTTAGTTTATCGTAGTTGTACTGGAAGTTACTAAACTAGAAGCAGATTGGAATTTGTGGTAATTTTTTCACAAATAAAATTATTGCATAAATATATAATGTCTAAAATAGACATACTTCAGTATACATATTCATAGTTCCTCCTTTTTTATTTTAAATATTAAGGTCAATATTCATTTCATAATATTCTTATATCAGACAACACAAAAGAATAATATAATTTTATTATTTAAAAATATTTGATTACAATATACTAATCTTTATTTATTGTTGTTATTTTTAAACTTTAAAATGAATATTTGAGAAAAATTTAGTAGAGTATATTAATTAAAGATTTATAACTTTTTAGATGGTATTTGAAAATGTATTTTTGAATTTTTACTAGAAAAATAAAATAGTTAGATTGGGAAGTGGGTTTTTATTATTATTATAATAAACTTATGGCTCATTCACCTTGTAGATTTAAATTTTCAATTGGAGTTTAAATGTGATATTTTTTTGAGAGTTTTTCACTGTAGCAGAAAATTTTAATGTGATATTTTTGAAAAATTTTTTACTAAAAAAACTTAAAATTGAAAATTCGAATCGGTAAAATGAACAAGGCCTTAAACTATGACAATATAAACTACTGAGTAAAAGCAATCCTCCGTCTATATCTCAAATTCGACTAATGAGCAGTAGTTTTTCCAATCTGCTGTGTAAAAGTAAGATTTACCGAGGCCCTCTAATCTATTGTAGATTCTTATAAACAGCAAAAAGTCTCCTCTAAAGTCCAAAAGTGATCTCTATAAAGGTTTTACTAATGACGTTAAAAACTTAAAAATAATAATAATAATAATAATAAATAAATAAATAAATAATGAGAAGTCTTTGCAATTTGGCATTAAAAGCCAAGCAAACTTATTGGCGAAAGAATTTGCAAGAGTTTTTGTTTTGTTTTATTATTTTTTTCCCCTGTGTTTAGGAAGTTAGGTGTGCCAAATCATGGTAATATTGTGAGATCCACCCTGCAATGATATTTATCTCTTGTTTTCTCACTTCTTTGAGCCATTCTGGGTCTTCTTTTGTTGAAAACCTCAAATCTACGTGATGGGCACCTGTTGATAAGAACCAATCCAACAAAACATGAGAGAGTAAGTGAGAGAGCAGTAAAAGACTCTTATGTCTAGTTTTCAAAAGCAGTGGCTAATGAACAATAGAAAATTACTGACAGTTTATTTACTGATAGTTTATCTTTTTAAGATCTACCGAAGAAATTACTAAGGGGATGTTTGGTACTTAGATTCGTTTTCTGGTTCGAATCATAATTCGTGATTTGCTACAGTATTTTCTCTCACAAAAAATACACGTAAATTAAAAATGGTTCTAATAACATGATTCTAATTTATGAACCAAACGTCTCCTTAATGAATAACGAATAATGCCAAAAACACAATTTTCTCTAATTACTTGTGATATAATTAAGTCCCTTATATCTAATTTTATAATATGTCACTCACCTTCTTTTGCCACAATTGCAACTATACTCCTAGATATATTCTTCAGAACCCTGCCAAAATATCACATGAAAAATACCATAAAGAAACTTATTTTCATTATTAGGCCGGCAACTATGGAATTAGAGAGGAAGAGATTGAGAACTGTACCCTCCACCACTCCAAGGGTCTCTTAATCCATTAAAGAAGATAATATTGCTTCCAAACCTTTTCAAGACCCTCTCAATTCCCTGTCCCAAAAAAAAGGGCCAAAAATTACATGTTGAATTCCTAAAGCATGAAACGCTCTAGTCAAAATAAAAATCTTTCATAAAATAGTTTAGGAATAATAAAATTATGTGGTACTTATTGTAATGATTTTCATTATCTATGTTATAAATCACGTAGTAGCTGTTATACTAACTTTAATTTTTACTATTTACAAAATACTTTAAGGGCCCGTTTAGTTAGCTGATTTGAATTTTTAATTTAAGTTGAGATGTGACTTTATATGAGAGCTTTTTACTGTAGTAAAAAGTCAGATATTACTATTTTTGAGAGTTTTTTTACTGTAGCAAAACTCGAATTCTAAACTCGAATCGGTGAAATAAACGGGACCAATCTCTTATTTTATTTCAACATGATTAATAAGATTATTATATGTTATATGTTTAACTCACCCAATACTCTATACACTCTTATCATGTGTAGATTATGATAGATTTCGAAGTCTAATTATTCACTCTTACTACTTCTATAAATAGACTTATTAAGCATTTGTTTTATAGGTCTGAACTATTTTTTACTATAGTGTTTTCTCTCATAAAATTTAAATTTATGTTTAAACTTTTCTATTCAAACTTATAAACCAAACGAGCCCTTAAATTTTCATAAAACTGGTACATTTTAATACTAATTATCTAAAAAAATTAGTATTGCTCTCACTCGCCCGACAATTCTAGGCTTTTCTTTTCTTTCTTCCTTATTTTTTTTTTTTAAATATTCTTGCAACATGAACAATTGTCATGGGTTTGAAAAAAGAACAAAAAAAAAAAAAAAAAAAAAAATTACAAATCCTCCAAACTCAGTGGTGATCCAGTTGCGCCTGGGCTCAACCCCATAGACATTTTTGCAGTAGGAAACTCTGCCACTATAATGCCACTCAGAAGCTGGAAATATGCTTTCTTTTGTGTTACCACTTGTTGGCAATATCATCTCTGTACATGCCTGTGCCAAATTCAAATTTCAATTCAAAGAAGGCTAATAATAATAATAATAATAACAATAATAATAATAATAATAATAATAATGATATGTTAGTGGACAATTTTAATTGATTTAATTAAAAGAAACACTCTGGATTGATTAGCAATATCTTGCACTTGGCTTGGGCTTATCTGAAATGGTGTTGGAAACTTTTGACCTACAAAATTTGTTCTAAGATCAGCTTTTAGAAATATTTTGCATTTTCAAAATTAGTTGAAACTAATTATGGTGATTGTAATATTGATAGAGGGGTTGTGTTATAATTAGCGTCGGGTTAAGAAGGTCAAAGTTTTAGGAGACGTTTGGTTAATGGATTAAAATTATGAGATTAGAACCATTTTCGATTTATGTATATTTTTTATAAGAGAAAATACTGTAGCGAACTACGAACAATTATTCGAATCAGGGTACGAATCCCCCAACCAAACAACTCATTAGTATTGACAAAATGAGGGAGTATTACTGTAATTTTTCTCAATTCATAGGTATTGTGGGAGAAAAACTGCAAAATCTGATTCATTAGTTCTATGCCAATTATGTCCCACTAAAACTTATTAAAAAAAATAAATAAAGAGAATGTAATAATAATAATAAAATCAATCTGGTCTCCACATGACTGTGGAGTACTGATTTCAAGGTAATCAACCCTCGTTGTTGCTCTTTGGTATATTTGATAAAGAAAGAAAACTAACACGCAGAATATAGAAATCAAACATTAAATAAGCGTCTTTAACATCCAAAAGAGTTGCTTAAAGTGTTTTTGATTTTTTGAAAAGTGTGAAAAGTTCTGAAGGAATATTTTTAAGACCAATAAGATCATAGAAATATGACTTTCATCCTATTTAATTCATACCTTACACTTTTTTATAATAGTATTTTGTCTTAACAAATTTGAATTTCAGTTCAAATTTTTTCTCGTACAAACCAAACTAGAGTTTTATTCTTTTTTTTTTTTTTTACCACCCGTAACCCTAAAGCCGCCCGCGCCAATGGTATAATGTTGGGTACTTAGAGAACAAGATGGGGCCATAAAAGAGTATGATCATTGAAACTTGTGGTTGATTTTACCTTCATCTTATGTGGGTTACAAAGGGACAATGATTAATCATGATCAAACATGATCATTTCTGAGGTTCAATATAAATATATGCGCGCATGTGAGGCACCACTATTTTCTTGGATACTCTGAGATCTGCTCTCTCTGTTTATTAGAGAAGATCTTTTGATTCTAATCTAAGATTATGCACCCACTTTTTAATAATTACTTTGTGATAAAGAAACTACCAATATGTAAATGGGATCCAAATATCATCATATATTTTTGAAACTGAGCCTGAAAAGAGAATATACAATAATACCCTTGTTTTGTAGTTTTTTTTTTTTTTTTTTTTTTTTTTTTTTTTAAGCAGGTAAGCATGATGCCCATGTACTTATTACATTTAAAAAGAGTTTAAATTTGTTGTCTTAGAACCCGTCTCTATTTGGTTGTTTCATTAATTAAGATTTGTTGGACAACATAAACTTACAAAAGCTTGAAAAAATTAATCGAAGGATTCATCATCATAATTAGTGGGACATAAAAGAAGACATATTTTTGAAACAACAGAATTTAAATCCATGTGAAAATATACGTCGGAAAGCACAATATGTTAACTTAAAAAAAAAAATGTAAAATTATACTAGAATATTGCTAAAAGTTTGATAAGATGGAAATTGAAAGCACAAAAATGTGTTTTTTTTACCTGCCAACCCCATCCACTGAGACCGTGAGGATCAGAATCATCATCAAGATCGAAACATTTGGCGGTTCCAGTATAGTTATAGTAGATGTTAGCTGCACCATACAGCTTTGCAAATGTGTCGTTGCCAGTCGTTGGATTGTCGATAGCTTTACACATCTGAACCATCAATCCAATTAAAACAAACGTCAAAAATCCTATTATACTTTCTTGGTAAAAGATCTCCTATATTTGTCCTGAAGGCAAAGATTAATGTTTGTTTTATATATTCGTCTCTGATTCTGAATCATGATTCATGATTCTTTATAGTGTTTTCTCTCACAAAAAATATACGTAAAATGAGTATAGATCTGAATCATGATTCTGAATACGCATATAAGGACATTTATTTCTGAATTTTTAACATACTTCATTGATTTAAGGGCAATTGGCAAACATTTTAATAAATTTAAGAGTAATTTTTCAAATTAAAAGTTTAGAAGCTCACTTATTATTTACTTTAAATTCAGAGGATAAAAAGGCCGAAAACTCAACTATTAATAATAAAGAGAAAATTGTTGAATGTGCTTTTAGAGTGCATGAGTCTAAATTTTATAAGCCATTTTACTCTTGATTAATACTCTTTTGACTAATATAATATTTAACTAATAAAAAGAATATTAATAAAAAATAAGTAGTAAAAATTCATACTTATGCACTCTAAAAGATAATTGTCTCTTTTTTCTATTAATAAATAATTTTTTCCATTTCTCTATAGTTTATTATATATTAGTTCTTTTTGGGTTGGGTGTCATGTGCTAGTAGGTATGTGTAGTACCTGTTTTATTCATTAAATAAAAAGAAAAAAAAAGGTAGTACCTGTTTGATTGGGTAAGCTGGCAAGGGATTAAGAAAATTTGATGGGGTTGGATAATCCGTCATGGAAGTATAAATGTAGGCAGTTGAAAGCCAATTTTCAAGATAATCTGCTATATATTCGTAGTCCCTGAAATTGAAATTGAAATTACATGTAAAATTAGAGACACAAAATTAAAATTTGGTGGGATTTTAAAAGATTCTAGTAACGAATAAATATTATCAAATTCCTAGAAAGAAATGTCAATAATTGGATCATGTAGTTTTTACTCGCATAATTTAAATGCTTTTCGGAGTAACTTGGCTCCTCCAGGTTTATTGGCAGTGTCTTTAATCTGTTTCCACGAGCCCTTTATCACTTTGTAGCAGCTCTCACTCTCACTCTGATTCACAATTAACAAAACAAAAAAAAAATGATTAGAATTTCAAAATTAAGTACTAATTAGAATAGCTCTATTTTCATTTTTCATTTTTTTTTTCCGCTTGCTTCCACGCCAATACAAATTCAACTAAAGCCTATGCGTAGACTTTTTGTTTATATATGAACCTTTTGTATTCAATACATCACTCTTGTAAACCCTAAGGCAACCTTTAATATATTCCGTTATCTCTTATTATCTCTTTCTTTTTCTTCCATCTCTATCACCAAAGAACATTAAACACAATATATATCTAAAGTCCTATATATCATACCAAATATTTCAAGGATTTCTACTTTCTTGTGGATTAAAGGGTTGATATTGAATCTTCCATTTGGGTAAGCTCTTAAATATTCTTTATAATATATATAATATATAGTTGTTTACATTTACATCTTGCTTGAGAATAGTTTTCTATCTTACGGTATTTCCTAAATAATATAGATGATTAAGTAGTCAAAATTCTCAGTCTTTCATTTAGTTATTTAAAATAGATTTTCATATTTCGATTTTTGGTACTCGTTTGTTTATGTATTAAGTATCTGTCTGTTAGGTTTTGGCGCATTTAATTATAAGATACTTGATTTTATATTGATCTTAAAAAGAAAAAAATAAATGCTCAGTTCTCCTAACATTTGCCAATTTGTTATATTGTTTAATTTTTGAACGCCCTTATATGATTTTCTTTTCTTTTCTTTTTTTTTTTTCCGTCTTCAATTTTTTTTTCACACTTTGTAGTGATGCTCACTAAATTAATTCTGTGGTTGATGAAATTTATAAATGAGTGGTTCCTACAAGTGTTTTATACATCCACGAAGTTTTGTACAATTATATTACCTCTTTCCTAATTTATATGGACTTGATAATAATCAAGACTGTACAATTTCTGAGATGATTACTTATATCACTAGCTAGTATATTCATGTAAAATTATTTTGATAAAATTCATTTTGTACGCGATGATGATAGCTCTATTCAAAAACGGAAATTTTTGTTTTAGTGATTTGAAAACTTAAAAAAACTCTATCATATCATAATATTATGCAAGAAAAATAATTAAAAAATATCTCTTGCAGTCTTTTATATGTTTATGTGAAATTTCACGTTTTTTTAATCATACATGGACATGTTAAGAAGGTTTTTACAAAAGTTTTTATACTAGATTGTTACTTTTTAACGATCTTGAATTATTTTAACGCTTGTTGCCCATGTTGGCACACGTTGCAATACGTACTACTTTGTGCATTTCTAAATATTAAGCGTACTTTTACCGTTGTGATTAATTAAAGACTTTTAGGGCCCGTTTAATTCGTTGATTCGAGTTTTTAATTCGAGTTGAGATGTGATTTTATGTGAGAGCTTTTTACTGTAGCAAAAAAGTTAGATGTGATTGTTTGTGAGAGCTTTTTACTGTAGCAAAACTCAAATTCTAAACTCGAATCGGTGAAATGAACGGGGCCTTAATGTACTAAATATTTATAGATGCAAAAAAAAAAATAATAAAGGGTCAAATTTTACCTCAAGAAATACAAGAAGGGCTTTGAAATGAGGCGCAATTTCGAACATAAAACCGGTGTTTTGCGTGAACCATTCGATGTCTCCTTCATTGCCGGTGTAAACAAAGATCGGAGCATTCGCGGTTGCGCCGCCCCAGAAGGTGTCGTTTATGAGATATCTCTGTTGGAATGTTTGGTAGCTCTTGGGGTAGAAGTTAAAATGGTCAAGCGTTTGAGTGAAGTAGCTTGTTCTATAGAGCTTATTGTTTTGTGTCGTTGACAAGAGAGAGATCTTTTCTGGGCTAATGAGTGAAGATGGGAACTTGTTTGGTGCTTTTATGGGAATTGAGAAGGCAGAAGACAGTAAACAGAGAAGGAAAAGACTTAGAAATTTGAACCCTATCATATCCTTTTTTTTTTTTTTTTTTGATGCTTTTGTGGCTGCTTTGTTTTAGCAAAGAGAACGAAGAAAGTTCTCACAAACAATCATAAAAAGAGAAGAAAGAGGGATTGGCATGGAATCTTCAAAAGTCCACAACTTCAGTAGAACTGCTAGGCATGGAAGAGCGCGGTTGAACTGTTGGCTGAAAAGTAGATAACTTCTTTTTTGAGCCATTAGCTGTAAATCTTGGAATTATGGAGAAAACAAATAAAATAATAATAATTAATGGTGGGCTTGCTTTCTTTGTTTTTGTGCCGGCTATGTTATTTGGTAACACCGGGGAAAAAAAAAAAGAAAAGAATTTACAGCAAGTACGAAATTGAAAACTTTTTTTTTTTTTTTTGATGAATATGTAATTAAAAACTTGGCAATAATATCCGTAAGTTTTTTTTTTTTTTTTTTTTGAGGTTTTCATCAATTTTGAGTTTCTTTTGATTTTGATGTGATTGAATTTCAGGGTTGGGAATGCATGTCATGATAAGGAAGAATATGTTATTGTAGAAAGCTCAAACAAAAGGAAAGAAAAAGAAAAAGACTATTCCATTATTTCTTCTTTTTTTTTTTTTTTTTTTTTTTTTTTTTTTTTTTTTTTTTGCTTTTTATCCTTTGGAAACTCAAACTACCTTTTTGTTCTTTTATTTTTTGATATAGTTTTATGGAAACTAAACTCTGAGAGCTAGTTTTATATTGCTTTCTAGAAGTGGCGTTTGATTTCTCGAGTCAAAAGTTGATTCTAAAAATATTTAAAAGATTTTTTAGAAGAGTTCTTACCCTGTAAAAGAGGTAACGGTCAAAGTCAGAAAATATAATTGAAACTAATCAGAACTTTATTAATTTACAAACTTAACTCTAACATTTTTAGTTTATTAGAAAATTTAAATATAGTCTTAATTTCATTAAACTCCACCAGGATCAAAAACATTAAGTAAAATATCATAGCTTTTACTTCTCCTTTTCTCTTTTCTATTTGTTAAAAGCACAAGGAAATAATGTCCAAGGAGTACTCCTTTAAATTAGTAGAGTTCCACAAAGATTTCTTGTTAAGTGTTTTATAGTTCCTTGGTATAAATTTATAGAGTTTTTTTTTTCCTAATAGAGAAAAGATGAATCATTAGTGTCATTTTGTCCCTCATCCTCTTCATTAATAGGAGAAATTTAAGGGCCCACCAAGAAAAATAAAATGATCTAGGATAGGTTTCTAATTTCAAATTATGACGTATTTAACCTTTAAACACATTTTGAAAAGAAAAGAAGAAAACACATGTATTACTCTTAGTGTTCTATGAGAATATCGCCAATGCAATATTAAATTAGCATGCGAATGTCAAATTTTGATATTTAAATGAGAAAATCACTTTTTAATACAATACTATTTTTAATGTTAAATTTAACATGTACTACATTTGAGGGTATAACATTGACATCAAATAGAGCATATGTCCAATTTTAACATTTGGTTTCTATTGATTGATTTTTTGATGTACCATAAATATTGATTTTTTTTTTAGGAATAGAATATGTGATTAGGTTAAAATTAAAGGAATTCTACGGTAATATATGATGTGAGAGAAGAAAAAATCTTTCCGGTTCTTTCCTCTTTATCAATAAAGACAAAACTCAATCACATTACTCCCAAAGATAACTTGTGGCTCCTAGTCACTTTTGTACTAAGTGGTGGGTCTTCCACTCTTTATTCAATCCTAAGACATTAGTGGGATGCAATGGTCCTCACTCTTTCACGAGTACTGGTCCACAATTATTGAAATACTTGGTAATGTTGCTTTTGTCTTAACATTTCAGGAATCCCTATTTTAGTCTTTAATTGAAGTTGGCATGTGTATGAGTCCATACAAATTGATCGACCCACTAAAGTCTCATTCATTTTGCGGATTCGAGTTGAGATGTGATATTTTTTAAGAATTTTTTACTGTAGTAGAAAAAATTAGATGTGACATTTTCTGATAATTTTTACTGTAAAAATCTAAAAGTGAAAATTTAAATCGGTGAAATAAACGAGATCTAAGTAATTTTAAGAAAAAGCACTAGAAATAATTATTTAATATTCAATCTAGAAAGCGGCCCTGTTCATTTCACCGATTCGAGTTTTACTATAGTAAAAAGCTCTAAAAACAGTCACATCTAACTTTTTTACTACAATAAAAAGTTCTCAAATAAAATCACATCTCAACTCGAATTAAAAACTCAAATTAGCAAACTAAACGGACCCTTATTTATCCCCAATGATCTTATCATTAGTGGGTGCCAGGTTGTTTTCTCAAATTGGAAGATATTTTTCATTTTTCATTTTTTGTCCAAATTAGGCAAAGGTAGAGATAGATCTCAGTATGCAAATTTTACCAGACACCCACATTTTGACAGCTGATTTTTAAAACATATTAATTTTTTTTTCAGTTGACATATTAAAATTAAGAATTATTTTCATAAATGTCCTTAAACTATATACCATGTTACAAAATGCTCCTGATTTTTTAAAATTATTCAAAACACTCTTCGATCTATAGAAAATATATCAAATTATCCCATTCATCCACTTCCGTGGAATTGTTGACATGTCACACTATTAAACATTAACTAAAGGTACTAGATTCTAATTAAACCTATAAAAGAGATGTTAAGTATTTAAAAAATAATACAGAAGAAAAAACACTAAAAAAGAAAACAAAAAGGGATTAATTAACCATAATAACAAATCAGAATCTAAAGATTAAGAAAACAGCCTGAAATTATTTTGCAAAAAAGGAAAAAAAACAAAAACAAAAACAAAGAAAACGTTGAACAAAGAGATCAAGGGGAAAACAGTCTGAAATTATTTATTTATTTATTTATATATGTTTGTGTCCAAATTAGGCAAAGGTATAGATAGATCCCTGTTAGGGAAAAGAGGCGTTCAGTATGCAATATTAATTTTAACAGCAGACTTTTAAAACATATTAATTTTTTCAGTTTTTCATATTAAATTTAATTTAAAAGCAAACTTTACCGCTACGAACTTGAGTGGGAAAAAAAAAAAAAAAACCATTATCGATGAAGAACTTGGATTAAAAATAAAATTATCTTATCCGACATTTAAATAAAAGGATTGGAAAGGTTTAGGCCTAATTCATCTCTCCCTATAGTATAAGTGCGATACGCGTTCTTTTATCTACTATTCATATTATTGTGATTTGAGATCAAATAGTAGAGGATTTGCTCCACCATTATGAGTTTATTTCATATTAAATTATTTTGTTCATATGATCTTGTCCCACATTCAATTACGTGTTAATTCGATCTCCAAACTTTGATATTGAAGGCAAGGTGTGAATTTACCGTTCAGTCAAATCTTCAACATGTTATTTTACTATTAATCTCTCATTCAAACTAATAACATTTGGAGAAAATTTCAATGACGAATGACGATGAATCATTAAAATAAATTGTGCTATGATGTTTTTTGGGTCTGGAAACACTCTACATATGTTCTATTAATATAGCCAGTTAGAATAATTAAATAAAAAAATAAAAGAAGAGAGAGATCTAACGTGATTCATGTTTACATCTACGGATTAGGAAGAGAAGAAGAATCAATTTACTAATAAAGAGCATTATGAAGTGGGATTCATATAAATGGACGTTACAAGTAAATAATCGAGTAAGTTACTCAATATTAAAAATCAAGAAACTTCCTCATATAAAAATAAATACAAATAAAATCAAAGCTATTACTAAAAGTTTTTCTAACATGTCCGTTAAATGGAGCTCCGATAGGAGATCCAATATTAAAAGGATTTTTTTTTTTTTGAGAATATAAGGACATATAAATAGTTGCATAGGGGTGAGAATCGTTGTGAGTGCATTGATGTAGGGCAAAAACCACAGTTGTCGGAGAGATTAGGGCGCATGGGTGCATAGAATCGTCGAGGAGAGAAGAGAAGAGGGCGCTTAGGCGCAACGATGGCAACTGACAAAAGAGAGAAAAGGACGTAGAGGCGCTGCTGGAGGCACACGGCCTAGGGAAAGGAGGCACATGGCCTAGATTTGGAGGATTTTGGATTGAGATAAGAAGCATTAGTCATGGAGGATTAAGGACTCGTTAGAGTATAAATCTCTGATGCCATAATAATAATTAAATAAGAAAATAAAATAAGAGAGATATTTAATGTGGTTTGACAATATGCCTTCATCCACAGACTAGAAAGAGAAGAAGAATTTATTCACTAGTAAAGAGCACTATGAAAGGAACTCCATATAAATAGACATTACAAGTAAATAATTGGTTAAGTTACCCAATACTAAAAATAAAAAAGCTTCCTCATATAAAAATAAATACAAATAAAGTCAAAACTATTACTAAGATAATTTCTCTAATAGCTAGTCCCCAGATATGATGTCCTTAATTTTCTATTCATTGATTGTCTCTAAATACTATTTTAACAACTTGTCTAAATTTAAGAATTTAGCCAAGTACTAAATACTTAAGATGGTTAAGCTATTAAATTAATTGTCAAAATAGCATAGTTAAAAATCTAAAAAAGATCTATCATACCCTTTTATTGTGGTATCACTTCTACCAATACATGTCTTCTACCCATACATGGCATATAGGAGGAAAAAATGTACAAATTTGTCAAAAAAAAATAATGTTTTTTTTTGCCCAAGACAAGAAAGAATATTATTCAAGATCTAGGATAATAGCGGTTGACACAGTAGAGCATGAGCAGATCTAGGATGTTGTACATTAACATCGTCACGTATATTATTTTAAATTTTCCATGTAATTAGCAAAAAAATTGCACAAAGCAAACTATTATGAATGCATTTATTTATTTTTTTTACGAAAAATTACATTTAAATAAAAACTGAGAAACATACAACTTGATACAATGTTAATGATCTATTAGAGAGATAGACGCACGCTTGAGACTTGAAAACAAGAGAAAACCTCAACACACTAATAAAGATCACACTTAAGACTCTAATTGAAAAAACTCATCCCATTAAGATAGACTTCTGAGCTTTGGATGGACATATCCCAACCTCTATAAAGAGAGGACATCGGCAACACGACATAGAAAAAATTCTAGCCGGATTAATAAGTCCACACAATCGGGAAGCATACAAACAGCCTTAAGCTAATGACTGAAAATGAGCATCAAACAACAAAACAAAGAGAGTTAGGTAGGAAAACCACTGCCCTTATTACAAACACAAAAACTCTGGCACAAAAACTAGAGAAAAGTGAAGAGATTAAGCCAACAAAAAAAAAAATCACTCAATGCCATGAATATGAGAATAACAGTTGAAACGGAATCGGAAAAGCCTCCCAAAACAACATCGGAAGCACTTGAACTCAACAGCGCGTGAGGCACACGTGCTTCCTCATATCGATGGTAACGCATGCACCGGAGCACCTTCTTCGCCTTCCTCTCGCGATCTAATTCCCAAAATTTTAACGAGATCCCACGACGAATGCGTCTTAGATCTACGACAAAAGATCGATGACCTCTTCCCTTAAACGGCTCCATTCTAGTGGCTACCCACACTTCGGTCGGCATGAACCCGTATCCGGTGACCACTGCGATTTTTCCGTCAAGATTTGGAGGCCAACAGGCCGACAAAAAGCTAGACTACTAGACCCCAAAAACTAAACTCTTGTGAAACTCTTAGAGGGTATTTGGTACGAAAATTCATGTAATTATTTGAATCATGGTTCGTATCTCGCTGCAGTATTTTTTCTCACGAAAAACACACATCAAGCGAAAATAATTCTAAATCCGTAAATCAAACATCCCTTAGACTCTCTTTCACTAACTCTCTTTCTCTAAAACCCAGGAAGGATTTTTTTCAATGCATTTTTAGATGAGACAATCTTTTCCATATATATATTTTTTGCTAAATCTTTCAATTTCTACAAATAATGCCTTTAAAAAAAATCTCCCCAAATAATGGTCAAGAATTTTGACGGGTCATATTATCATAACAGACAGTATCAAAGAAAATCAATATGATTTGAATATTCTTATTTTATGTCCGGACTTCTTTTTCCTAATTCGAATTTTGACCCAATGTGATTTCGCAGGGCCCCACCAGAAACCCAAAAATCCACCAAATTTTCGCTAATATTCCTTTCCTCCTCATTTTTTTAAAACCTTAATCGTAACTCGATTCCTTACACCGAATCACAATCGAGGCTTATCTCCGACGAATCTTAGCCGCACGATTGGTCCAAACCCACACTTTTAGTCAAAAGGCGGGAAATCTTTTCATTTCTGATCCAATCCAAAACTCCGAATCGCTTCCCACGGTGGTCTCGGCCTCACCCGATCTCCCCACCTTCTTCTTCCCTTTCGCTTTAGCCCTTTACACGCCTCTTTCTCTGCACAGCAGAGGAAGCTTACAGTCTGTACTGATCAAATCTACTAGTGGAAGCCATCAAAGCTGTTATCTTTCTCTCTCTTTCCTCTCTCTCTCTCTCTCTGAGAAGTTTCTTTTTTAACGACTAGGTTTTTCTCTTTCTTGATTTTCTCTCACTTTCTCGGAAACCAAACGCAATCTCGCTGCTATGAATCAAACGGTACGTTTCTAAGGTTTCCAAGGTCTCTTTTGGTTGATTTTGCAGACCAAAGTTTATGGCTTTCTTATACTGTTGTGGTTTTTCGACAGGCGTTTGGGATCTAGACCTCTAGATTTTTCGTGGAAGTTCCAAGCTGTGGATGATAATGCCAAGGCAGAATCTGAGCGCGGATTTGATCCCTGGCAAAATCAGGAAGCGAGGTTGTTCGTCGTCGGCGAGTTCGTCGTCCTCCGTGATCCAGAACTACAGGTTCAAGAGAGCGATCCTCGTTGGGAAGAGAGGCGGATCCACTACGCCCGTGCCTACATGGAGGCTGATGAGCTCGAGATCTCCGGCGTCAGCGCGGCGGAATTTTGAGTCCCCGAAGTACGCGCCGTCGATGATCGGCGGCGCCGCCGCCAAGGCTTCGGCGGCGGTAGCCAAGCAAGCTCCTCCCGTGTCGGCTAGGAAGCTCGCCGCCACGCTCTGGGAGATGAACGAGATTCCGTCGCCGAGGATTAAGGAAGGCTCCGACGAGAGGAGGCTTAGGAAGGAGCTCAGAGCCAGAGAGAAGATGATGACTTCGAGGTCCATGCATTCCGGTTCTTTGCCTCCTCATCTCTCCGATCCGTCTCACAGTCCGGTTTCCGAGGTAGGGTTTCGGAACTTTTCAGTTTAAATTAATGAAATAAAAAAAAAAAAAATAAAACATTTGAACTTTGATCTTCGTTTGTTTAGTTATACATTTTCTTGGCATTTCTAAATTGCGAAGTTGATGTGGCGATTGGGTTGATTTTGATGCTGAAAGGCTACCAAAAACAGAGGAATTATGATTGGGCACTACGTTTTGGAGGGATGATGACAAATGCCATCTGTTTGTTCTTGTTTTTCTCCGTAATTAAGTTCCATTAATGTGTTGATAATGACTTGGATTATGATTAACGTTGATATGTAGAGAATGGATCGATCTGGAACGGGTAGTCGCCAGAGAAGAACGCCGTCCGTTTCTCATAGGCTTAGACTTACGGAACGTCACATTGGAGGTTTGGATTCCCTAAGCAATGCCAGCTTAATGGAGGTAATTAGAGTTAATTTTGGTTGATTTTTGAAAAAGACTACTTTTTCTCCTTTTAAGACACCATGCTTTTGTGCTAAGTTTTTGTATTAGCTCCTATTTCGCATTTAAATGTTCGAACTTGATCTTGGATTGGACATTCTTTCAAATTTCAATAAATTGCATCAGATGATTACTGTGAAATTAGTTCATGTCCTTTGTCTGATTGATACAGGTTGAGACTAGATCCCGAGCGCAGACTCCGAGTGCTTCCACTGTCGGTGTTAAGACTCGTCTCAAAGATGTTAGTAATGCTCTGACCACGTCAAAACAGTTGCTCAAAATTATCAACCGCATTTGGGGTCATGAAGATAGACCTTCGTCGAGCATGTCGTTGATCTCTGCCTTGCATACTGAGCTAGAAAGGGCTCGATTACAGGTCAATCAACTTATCCAAGAACAACGCTCGGATCAGAATGAGATCAACTACCTTATGAAGTGCTTTGCTGAGGAAAAAGCTGCATGGAAAAACAAGGAGCAGGAAGTGGTTGAGGCTGCTATAGAATCCGTTGTGGGGGAGCTAGAGGTGGAGAGGAAGCTGAGGAGAAGGTTCGAGAGCTTGAACAAGAAGCTTGGGAAAGAACTGGCTGAGACAAAGTCCTCCCTTCTTAAGGCAGTGAAAGAGCTTGAAACTGAGAAGAGAGCGAGGGAAATAATGGAACAAGTGTGTGATGAATTGGCCAGGGATATTGATGAAGACAAAGTTGAGGCAGAGGGACTAAAGAGAGATTCTTTTAAAATTTGTGAAGAGGTTGAGAAGGAAAGGGAGATGATGAAACTAGCTGATATGTTGCGGGAGGAAAGAGTTCAGATGAAACTCTCTGATGCCAAACATCAGCTTGAAGAGAAGAATGCTGCTGTTGATATATTGAGGAATCAACTTGAGGCTTTTTTAGGGACTAAAAAACCTAAAGAGAAAGGACGAGTTTCTAATTATCAAAATGAAGAAGAAATTGACGCTTATTTGGGGGGAACTCGTTTTGGTTTGCATCAGAAAGAACAAAAAGATGATGTGGGAGAAGTTGTAGATGGTGTGGAATGCGAAGAGGATTTGGCTGAAAGTGATCTTCATTCAATAGAACTAAACATGGACAACAATAATAAGAGCTACAACTGGCCTCAGGCTTCTGGAGTCGCTCATGATTTAAGAAGGGCTTTGATTGATCAAGAAGAAAGGAAGTCTATATCTGGGAAAGCGTCAAGGAAGAGCACTTCCCTACAAAGGAGCATATCAGATGGAGTTGAATTGCGCATGCAAAGTGAAAAGCTTCAGAGTCCGATAGATGGGCTAGACTGGGACAGGTTTTCTGAACTTGAGAGGCAACTGCAAGGAAAAGGTTACGGTGATGAAATGCAAGGATACAAATCATCGAAGGGTCTCCGAGACCAAATTTTGTCCAGTTCTAGGTTGGGATCTGCTAAAGGTTTTGCTAGTCCAACACGGCAATGGGGACAACCATGGCCTTCGAGAGATCCTACCAATACAGTTCACGAAAGGCCTGCCACTGCGCAGGGCAGTGGATTGAAGTCGAGGCTTAATAGAAGCCAGAGGTGAATGCCAAAATGCAAGTAAATTGAGACGATGAAGAAATGCTATTTATTCACCAATCCCGTTCCTGTGAGGACCTACATTGCCACAATAGATGCTGACCGAACACAGGGAGACTACAGAGGCCAAGGTAGTCAACTCTCAAGCTGAGAAGTTTTCTTTTAGTTGCTTTTCCTTTGTCAGCACCAAGAGGTGCTGAGCTTGCAGCAATCGCTGCCCTTTTTGCGCCGGACTATTTGATTTACACATCCTTTATGCTTGTAGATTTATTGTAGAAAGCTGTGCTAATTTAGCGAGTTTCCCATGTACAAAAGCTTCTAGTACAACTGAGATGAATGTACTAGAAAAGCTAAATATTTGACCTCTTGTGTGTTCCTCTTACCTTTTCATTCGTGCCCTTTAATTGAAAAATGAAAGATTATTAGAAAAGTCCAAATGGATGATTGTTCAAAATTTTGGAAGTTTTTTTAGCTGTCCAAGGCATTCTCCTCATCATTTTGCAGCCACAATCATTCGACTTGTAGCAGGCTTGCCTGTACTTTTATCTAGTTGTTCGCTAAACGTGATTTACGTAATAGATTAGGGAGACAAATTTCTCTTGGTTGGCCTGGCTTTTCCTCTTCTAACTCATAATGTACGGAAAAGGCCACTAAAATGATGCGTAAGCTTTTGTGCATCTTTTTTCATTTTTTTAAATTTTAAATTTGTGAGTTTAATGCAGCTCTAAATCCCTGAAAAAAGTAATTAAAAAATGCTCTCATAGATACCAGATTAAACGGTAACATCTTCTCTGCCTAAGGCTCTCTATAGAGTGTTTTTAAGTAACTTTTTAGAATTCGTTGCGACTTTGTTAAATAATGATTTTGTATGTTTTTGGGTGATATGTTCGCTATTGGAGCTGAGCTGTGGACTGTTGTTAATGCTATTTCTGTAGCTTGGTAGTTTTAAGTAGCAAAAAATGCAGATCGAGAGTGATTCCTTTATATTTATCAAAAAAAAAAAAAAAAAGAGTGATTCCTCATTTCCTTTATTGTTGTTAACTTGTTGAAGGCTGTTGGTTCTTTGTGATGTCCCTTGATAGTTGACATCTTTTCAACAATTGAAGGAGAGTTTGAGGATTTTTGGAACGTGCCTATTAATTTTTCTTTTGTGTACCGAAAAACTAACATTTGTGCAAATAGGATGGTTTCTTCAGGAGTAACTGTAAGGAATAGGATGATGCAATTACACTTCGATTGATTGGGTTTTACCTTTTTAGTTTGAGACTCAAATGAAGCTTAAGGACTCACAAATGAAAGATTTACCCTTTATTTATAAGTAAGAAAAATACTCCGTTTAATAGTTTCACAAACCTTCCATAGAAGAACAAGTAATTTTCACACCAACACATTGAAGAAAACATTGCAACGCGAAAAAGGAGATGATGTATAATTTGTTTCCAGCGAGACCGTATAACAAAAGCAGAGATACGACATCAGCTAGGAAAACAATTAAGAAATAATAATTAAAAAAAAAAAGAAGTAAAATGCACGACAAGTCAAAAACGACGATCTTTAAACGAACATGAAACTTCCATAGTTCCATTCATTTCTCAGACAGAGAGAGAGAGTGCATCTACTTGAAACGACAGCAACATATTAAACGACAACAGAATCAGTGTCAATCGACAGGATATCGCCTTAGCCAAATAACAGAACGTTGTGTACTAACTGAACTGAAAACACGAACAATCTCAGATCTCAGAACTCAAAACTACGACTGTTTGTCGCCGTCGCCGTCGCCGTCGTCTTGTTGGAGATCCCGAATAGCATAAAAGAAATCGAAAAATTACCACACAAACAAAATCAATCTCAATTCTCAACCTCTGAAGCTATTTCCTGGTAATTAATACACATTCATCAACATCAAGCTACTGTTTCTAGGGTTCTAGTCGTCGAGGAGTTTCCTGAGACGCTCTTTGACGAAATCCCTGCGAGCTTTCACGCGTGCCTGTTGAGGCTCGATGTTCGAAAACGACATGTAAGCTCCGACTGCGAAAAACGACACCCCGACGGCGAAGCAAATCGCCGTCGTCGCTAGCTGCCTCGGCGTCGGCGGGTACGACCACATCGCCATATCTCAATTTCCCAAATCTTTTTTTCTGTAGGGTTTTTCAATTTTACTCATATTTAAACGTCGTTTGAGTTAAATTACGAAAAGCTCCCTTTGTGTTTCGGATATTCTTTTACTTGAGGCAAAAGATCGAACACATAGAGAACAATATACAAAAAGCCATGCAAACACGAAATCTTGTTCAACTCCCATGCCTTTGATCAGCCATAATTTGCCCAAATTTTCTGTGCCTTCAATCGCAAGTCTCATAAAGGCATGTAGAAATCCCAAGCATCTTCAACAAGTCCATGCTCAGATCATCCGCAAAGGTTTAGAGCAAGACCATTTTCTCATTTCCCAGTTCATTTGTCTCTCTCAAACTCTCTCTAACCTTTCCTACTCGGTAAGCGTTTTTGACCGTATTCTCTCTCCCAGTACGTTTCTATGGAACGTTCTGATTAAAGGGTACTGCGAAAAGTCCGGTTTCGGTGGCACTTTTTCGGTGTTTGTTCGCATGAAGAGAGAGGGGAGTTTTACTGATAGATATACTTATCCTTCGGTGATCAAGGCGTGTGCGTGTGAGGGAAGGGTTAGAGAAGGAAGGGCTCTTCATGGGTCGGCGTTGAGGTGTGGGGTTGAGTGGGACGTGTTTGTGAGGACGAGTTTGATTGATTTTTACGGGAAATGTGGGAAGATTGGGTGTGCGCGTAAGATGTTTGATGAAATGCCGCAGAGAAATGTCGTTTCTTGGACGGCTATTGTTGTTGGATATGTCGTTGCTGGGGATATAACGGAGGCGAAGAGGCTGTTTGATGAGATGCCGCAGAGGAATGTGGCGTCATGGAATGCAATCATTGGCGGGTTTGTGAAGTCGGGCGACTTGTGTAGTGCTAGGAGGATTTTTGATGAGATGGAAGAGAAGAATGTGGTTTCTTATACGACTCTGATTGATGGGTGTGCGAAGGCGGGTGATATGGCTTCTGCTAGGTTTCTGTTTGACCAAGCTCCGTATAGGGATATTGTTGCGTGGTCTGCGTTAATTACAGGGTATGCTCAGAATGGTCGGCCTAAAGAGGCTGTAAACATTTTTCTTGAAATGTGTTTGGGTAGTGTTAAGCCTGATGAGTTTATCATGGTGAGCTTGATGTCAGCTTGTTCTCAGGAAGGCAATCTGGAGTTGGCCAAATGGGTTGATAATTATGTTACCCGAAGTCCAATTGATCTTGGTCGAGCACATGTTCAAGCGGCTCTTGTTGACATGAATGCAAAGTGTGGGAACATGGAGAGAGCAATAAATTTGTTTGAGCAAATGCCTAAACGGGACTTAATATCATACTGTTCCATGATACATGGTCTCTCTATACATGGTCGTGGTGAGGAGGCAGTTTCCCTTTTCAATAGTATGCTAAATGAAGGCTTGACTCCGGATGAGGTGGCCTTTACAGTTATCCTGACAGCTTGTAGCCGTGCTGGGCTCGTTGAGGAGGGTTGGCACTTCTTTGAATCCATGAAAAATGGGTATTCCATCGTACCTTCTCAAGATCATTATGCTTGTATGGTTGATCTTCTCAGCCGTTCAGGGCGGTTGAAAACAGCTTATGAGCTTATGAAATTAATGCCTGTGGAGCCTCATGCTGGGGCATGGGGTGCCCTACTTGGGGCCTGTAAGCTACATTGCAATATAGAGATAGGTGAGTTGGTCGCTAGTAAACTATTAGAGATTGAACCTCAGAATGCTGGTAATTATGTGCTTCTATCCAATATTTACGCAGTAGCAGAGCGCTGGTTGGACGTTTCCCTTGTGAGGAATAAAATGAAGGAGAGAGGAGTCAAAAAAATACCTGGTCGCAGTTGGATTAGTTCTGAAGGTTGAGTTTGTCGGTAACTTTGTTTATGGAATGTGGGAATTTTACTCTGGAACTTGCATTGTGGAGATGGACTATATTTTAGATTTCCTGCTATTGATACTAGCTAACAGGAATCAAGTTGCGAGCATTGCCTTCAAATCCAATTCGGAGGATACAGTTGTGCTATAAAATTTTTTGCAATTTTGCGTGGTATACAAGCAACTTCTTTTGCTGATAAAGATTCATGTCGTCACTTCAAGCATGAATGAGTTGTTGTTTTCTAACTTGAAGTGTGTGGATTACGTTAGGAATCAATTTTGGCGGAATTTTGTTACGGAGAGGTCAATAACCATAAGAAATTGATTGTGCACCCGGTTATTGTGAAAATTCAGGTCTTTTCATCAATTGTTATTTCATTTTTTGGTTGTGGTGATCATTTTTAGTTGCCTTGGTTTTCAAGGTTCCATTTATGCAGTTTTGGATAAACCGTGTATACTGATGTATTCTGTCTTCAAACTATTTAACAGAACAACGGTTAATCGAATGCTGACAAGAAATTAGGGTGCTTGTTGCTGCTTATTTCCGCTCATTTGTGACTATAGGAATCTCCTTTTTGGTATAAGTAACTAAACATAACTGGATATTAATTATAATTATGTTAAACAAAAAGCCAATATCATACAAGAGGATTTATTTGCTTGATTATTTTTAAAAATAGAGATTAGCAAATTTTGTGGCTGCTTCAAAAAGTTTGGACCTTCATTACATGTAAGAACCAATTTAAACCTTGCATAGCTGCTGTTGAATATTCAGAAGTCAAAGTCAGGAAATTTATTTTAGGAAAGTATTTTAGGAATAAAGGAGAGATCAGTTGTGATCCTCTCTCATGATTCTGTTTCCTGATTTTTAGGAAAGAATTAAGTTAGTTATTTCCTTTGTTAGACGTTTTGTATATATAATTGGATGTATTACCGATTTTATTCAATGAAAGAATTCTGAAATTCTTCAGCTGCGTATTTTATCCATCTTCAATTAGTTCTGCATTTTGTTATCCGGCGTGCTTC